GAATTCCTGGAAGCATGGCTGTGGATGGTGTCAATGGAGACAATGGAGATGAAGATGAAGAGATGGATCAGAAGTGTTTTGGTGAAGATTTAGATTCCTTTCTTGCTGTGGAGAGCTTGAATGTTAGTGTTGCAGCTGGTGTGCTTCTCTACCATTTGGTTGGGGATGCTAAGCATCCATCAGTGGAGAAGATGAAGAGGATTTCCAGCTGATATTTGTGAGTAATTTGCTTCAAGTTTTTAATTTTGTTAATGGAAAATTTATCTTCCTGAGTTTGCTTCAACGTGCATTTGCTCACAACAATCTTCAAAATTTTGCTAAACGTGTACTTCACCTTCCTAAGCACTTCATGTTCCAATAACCTTCAAGATTTTGTATTCTAATTATCTCGCAAGTTCATTCTTAATTTTAACATATGAATCACTTAATAAACTATATGCACTCACTAATATATGTTTGCTGCCATTAAACTTGAGTGGAGGACAAATTGGGCCAATGGGACATATTAAGTGATATCAAATAATTTTCAGCCTCTCAAAAGCATTGTGATATGCAACTCATCAAGCATTATAGGATCAATTGTCACTCCTCAATGCATGATCTAATAATGCATGGTTTGGTTGAAGCATTTAATAAGAATTTGATTAACCTACTTAAAAGAAGATTCTTCTTAAACATAAGAAGAATCTTGTTACGTTAATAAGAGGACCAAAATCTTTTGAACTTATATTGAATGACCTACAAGGCACTTACCCAAGCAACAACCCTATACTCCATTGCAAGAGGAGAAAGCTCTTTTAGGCCCAAGGAGCATGATGCTCTAAGATGATGCAAGGCTAAAAGCCAACAAAACCTCAAAAGATTACCTAACAAAAATCATCAAAGTCCCTATGATCACATGTAATGCTTAAAAGCAATTGACACAAGCGAGTTGGAATTTGTGCTTTATAAACAATAATAATCTAGAGAACATGACATAAATGGGTAACTTAATATATCTTACATAGTCACATGCAACATTTATTGGGGTAATACACTAGTAGTAAATTATTTCCAAAACAAAAATTTTATTTATTTATTAAGGGGTATAGTTAATTATACCATCAAAACTTTAATAATTATCTAAAAATTAATCGAATATTTTTTCTTGAAGAATAATTTTCCTACTTTAAGGGAAATAATTCTTTTGAAATTAAAGCCAATGAAGGCTTGTGCTAAATCCCAAACAAACGCCACACATGTATTCCTACCAAAGAGCCATACATCAATAAATTAAAACTATAGAAAAAAAACTTGAAAATTGCTATAAAATTTAAGGGGGAAAAACCTAACAAAATTCTATAAATAGTCTATTGTAATTTAATTTTCAGACTCTTTTAATATGCACTTAAATAGTCCAGGAGACAGCTATTTCAGCCCATATTAAAAAAATTTGACACTATAGACTCTAGGACTAAAAGGACCGCTACAAAGAGCAAGGGGACTACTCCGACACCTTTTTCTTTTTTTATATACAGGTTTATAGTAACAATGTGTTATAAAAGTAAATATCAAAATTTATATATTAAATATGTAAAAATGTCATCAGAATACAAAATTTTGAAGCCCAACATCAATCTATTAAAATAAAACAAGTGAAAAAAAAACATGATATGTTCATCACTCAAAAAAACTCAGGAGGTGAATCTCCTTCTTCAAAAACCAGGTGCTTTGGCACCTTAAGAATAATCATCTCTCTCTCCCATCCAGCCTCTTCCAACTGTTTTAGAAAGACACTAAATCTGGCTTCCAGTTTCAGAAGGCTCTCACTGAGCCAACCCAATATATCATCCCTGCCAAGTTCTTCATTGTATGTGTGCAACCAATAAACTTGCCATAAACTCTTCAAAACTGATACACTTGTGGCCCCAACCTATATATTATCAAGGTTGTTGAGGCTATTAGAAGAAACAAATTACGTTGGAATGCATTTTAAATATATTAGATTTAATATAATTTTTCAAGGGGCATTTATGTACATGGTGTTGGAATTCAGAATATGTGGAATAACATTATTGATATGAAAAGTGATTATAAACAACCCTTCAACGAATCATAAAATAGGAAAGACGGAAAAAAGAAAATAACAAGAAGCTAAAGATATAACACCTAATATGTCTAATTAATCAATTCATAATAATTATTTGGAGATAAAGGAAACAACATAAGAAAGGAAAGGAAATAAATCCAACACAAGGAAATAAATCTAAAATAGGAAAGGAAATGAAGTTATATTAGAAAATAAATCTAATTTTCATAACTTCTAATAGGAATAAATTATTTCTCAATATAACTTCTAACACATAGCACATAATTATTATGCATTTACATATCTCACGGCTAAACTTTTATATTTACAAAGCATTCAAATCTTTAATATCAAAGAAAAAAATAACACTATTACTATTTCTTTAAAAGTGAAAAAAACCTTTTCATGCATAGATTTAAGGCACCAAAGTGCTATATATATGTAGGGCTGTCAAAACGTCTCGTTGTTCGTGAACAGCTTGTGTTCGGCTAGTTCGTTGAGTTAACGAGTTGAACACGAACAACACGAACAAATATTTGTTCGTTCGTGTTCGGCTCGTTTTGACTCGAAATACTACTAATCAATTATATATATATATCTTTGATAAGTAGTATTTTTAAAAAAATTAATTGACTAAAAGGCTATAAATATTTATAATAAATTTAAAGTATTAATGAAGAAAATAGAATACAAATTATTAAATTAGATTCAAATGATGTTTTAAATCTTGCCCCAATCATTAACATCTTATGGCTACGTGATTAGGATTGTCAAAATGACTCCTTTTTCGTGAACGACTCGTGTTCGACTCACTAAGCAAACCAAAATGACTCCTTTTTCGTGAACGACTCGTGTTTGACTCACTAAGCAAACGAGCCGAACACGAACACACTTTTTGAGCTTGAAATATAAACGAGCCGAACACGAGCTGAGCCTGGGCTCGCTCGTGTTCGGCTTGTTTACACCCCTATATATATGTAAATATGAAAATTTAGGTGTGAGATATGTAAATATATGAGAATTGTATGCTACTTATGTAATTATTCTTTTTTTTTAGTGATTACTCGTGTATTATGAACAACTCAACAAATCCAACGAATCTGAAACACATTTTGACTAAAGTTTGATCAGAATATTCAGATTCAAACCCATCATAGGATTGTCTAATTGAAAATTACATCAGGACAAGTTTCAAAGCCGTTAGATTTGGTTTGAAATTAACGCCATGCATGAGTAAACAATTAAATTTTGTATTTTACTCGTCTCAAAATAAATCTAAAACATTTGAAATCTATGTCAAACTCTTATAGTTATCAAAGACACTGAAGAAGTCGCCAGTAGATGAGTACCTTATATGTTATGTAGTAGTTTAGCACTTTTGATCCACGCAGGTTCACAAAGAGAATATACTTTTCTTGTGCGTATAGTTCCAAAAGTGCTTTAACCTTCAAAAACCGATAGGGGGTGTGAACGTCATGATTTGATCAGCTGTAAACTTTGTCAGGTTTTGAAACACTGTATGCAAAAAGTTCATTTAAATGGGGGTAAATGCGAATCATGCAAACATAAATTCATAAATGACTGCGGGTATGAAATTCTTCCTCATTCTTAGAATATCCGATGACCTTCACCTGTCAAATCAAGCAGGGTCTAACGTCTATACTTGCGTATTCGCCTCGCTCATTCATGAACTGAATTTGGCAACTTGTAATTTGCGAATCATCAAGCTTGAATTCGCTAGAAGCCTATACTCACCAAGAGTAAAAACTATGTTTCATAAAATCCTGAAATAATCTATAATACTCCCATAAAATTTCCACCACACCAATTATGAAGTCTTCTTATAAACCAACATAAAAAAATGTTTATTTATGCTCGAATGTGTAGCACATTGGTTGGAAACAAAGTAAATAACCCCAAGTTGCCCATTTTGAGCGTTAATTAAAAAAATAAAAAATAAAAAATAAAAATCAACCTTTTCAACTCCACAGAAAGTGGCTTCTGAAATCACTAATAAACCTCCCACATCAGTTATATCTAAACCCACTCCAAACAAAAAACACTGCCTCATAAAACTAGAAGGAAAATTCACATAGATAGCACGCAACTCTTATGTATTTACATAACTCACAACTAAAATTTCATATTTATATGCATAGCACTATGGTAGCACTTTGGTGCCTTAAATCTATGCATGAAAATATGTATTTCACTTTTAAAATATGATAATAGTGCTATTTTTCATGTGATATTAAAGATTTGAGTGTTACGTGTGTAATTTAGGTGTGAGATGAGTAAGTACATTAGACTTGTGTGCTATGTAAGTAAACCCCCCAAACTAGAAATTATGAATGAGATATTTCTATTATTGTAACTCTTCTAATATGGTAAACAATAGCAAATGTAAGTAACCCCCTTAAAGGAGTGCAAGTTCATCCAATGCAGACCAAACCTCGTTAAAAGCCTTAATTAGTCATGTTGATTCAGACAAGATGGTTCCTAAAAAGACTAACAATTTAACTATGCAGTCTGTCATTTGGATAATCTCTTAGATTCTCAAGTTTAATTGGTCTCAATGTCAATGATAAAGTTTATAAATGGATCCTCTAATTACTTTTAGCTTTCACAAATGATCGCCAAATTCAACTTAATACAAAATTTTGTTACAAACTTAACCTTATTCATAGAGTGAAGCACCTTTGTCATGGGAAATTATACACACATGCTAAGAGTTACAAACTAATAATTATTCAAAAGAAACGAACCACTAAGGGATTGTTTTGGATCACCTTTTATTTTTGTGTTACATTTTTTTTCTTTTATTTTGTTTATATTTTAATTGAAATAAAACAACCTTGGTATATTATACTTTGTTTAGTTCAAAACACTCAAAACAATTTTTAGGTATTTTGAATATTTTTATATATAAATTAAATTATTTTGAAAATAAAAATAAAAATATGAAAAAATGCACTAAACAAATGTGTTTTTAAAATAGAAGTGAAAACAAAACAAAGAACAAAAAATAAAAGTGATCCCAACCAAATCCTAAAGTTGTGTATTTGCTCATGCAAGGAAAACTTATTGAGTAGTTGATGAAATTGAAAGATATAGGTTGGGGTTTTGTTATGCTCGCAAGATTTGGATGGCTATATAATAAATGAAAATAATTATGTGTTAGTTTTATGAAAAAGCAAATGATATTGAAAATACCATGGAGGAGAGTAAATACAAGTACAGGTCAAATTCATGTCATTATATTAATAACTGAGTTAGCTCGATATAGACATAATGACGAATCAAATGCAGCTAGCTTTTAATATTACATTGGCAAAAATTTCAACGGCTATTGAACAAGTCTTAGTCAACTTAAATTGAATATTTTCTTCGCAATTACAAAAATATGGGATGGTAACCCTGAAAAAATTTTGGTAGTTATAACAACATTGTCTTCAGTTTAAAGTTCAAGTGAGATGCCCATTTTGGGGCTTGGAGTGAGTATATTTACCAAAATAAAAAAGGAAGATTTACATACATACCTAAAACTTAAAACTAAATCCTATGTATTTACATATCTAAAACTTAAAACTTTAATTTTTACTCATTGCCACCTTAGCTATGCATGAAGAAGTGTATTTCACCGTTTTAAAGTCAAACTAGTGTTATTTATTATGTGCTATGAAAGACTTGGGTAGTAGAAATGAGAAAAGTAAAATTCAGGTGTTACATATGTAAATACAAAGGAATTGGGTGGTTTGTATTTATATGCGCCCCCAAAAAAATACACATTCATCTTCTATTGAAGTGCAGAAACTATCCAAGCTCAAAAAAGCATACATACGATTTGGCTGAAGTTCCTCTTAGGGACCATGCTTTCTATGGTAACACCGAATGTAATTCTTGGTTGCAGAAAATGCTCCCAAGATAGAAGTTTCTCCTCTTTATTTACATCAATATACCCTATCAAGAGTTCAAAAACTAATTTATAAACGCAGGAACAAGATATCCCAAATAAAAAGATGGTCAAATATGCACCTGGAACTAGTTTAATTCATGATTCTTTGATTTTAAAAAAATATAAAAAAGGTAAATTGATATACGTACCACATAATTTCATGTATTTTTATTTCTAACGCCTAAAGGGATAGCATACAACAGTTTTAGCAGCTTTATTAAATCTTATAAATCCTGATTTACTAAATACTGCCGACAACAGGATTTAGTAAATCCGGCATTTACGAAACAATTGAGAAGGAACTAGATTAACTAAATATTGGATTTAAAATTGTTCTTTTTTCTCCGGCAAGATTTAAGTTAAATCTTACTTAAATCCATTATCATACAGCCTTAAAGTTTGATATTTATATTTATAACACTTTGGTATCATAAAGCTATGCATGACAAGGTGTATTTCACTTTTAAAGTGTAAATAATAGTGGTATTTTTAATATGAAATTAAGGAATTGAGTTATGCATGTAAATAAGAAAGATTAGGTCTTGGATAGGTGAATATATAAGAATTGTGTGGTATGTATGTAAATGCCCCCAAAAAATATGGACCTGGAACTGTGTTATATAGAACATGTGATTTCACAAGAATGCGTGCACGCTTGAGGTTTATCTGCCAAAAACACGAGAAAAAATATAGTCAAGGGATAGGAATTTGAGGGGTAAATTGCACATTAAAACAAAATTGAAGTTGTGTTTTGGAATATCATGTGCATATATATTCAATGTTTCCAAACTTACGGAGCGGAACTTAAGAACTGATAGTGACTGATAACGCAACCAGAGGTGCATAAGGCGCATGCTCAACCACGTGAAAGCATGCATGGAGTATGATTCTCTTAATCCAGGAGCTTCCTGCATAATTTTTCTGATAAAGAGACAAAATGTTGCGCGTCTATGTACTGAAAATATCTCATTAAGCGAACAGAAAAAGTAAATCTACATATAAAATTAGCCAAGCATTAAATTATGATCCATCGTAAACTTGTTTACCATGATGAGTATGCCAAAAGCAAGTCCCACTAGTTGAGCAGCTACTTCCCATACTTCCTCCTGAAATGGTATATTTGTAAAATTGGGCATAAGAAAAGGATATGCTCAGCATAATGCTAGTTAGCATTTTAGGGTGATTTGCATATATAGAACCCAAAACTCTTTATATTAAAATTTCACACCTAAACTTATATATTTATATTTAAAATATCCAAAAAGACTACACTTTGCTCCAAAATAACACTCCTCGTCAAAAATTGTAAAGCCGTTATTAAAATTTTTGGCTGCTTGATTGCAGGATTTGACCTAATTCCTGTCAAACAGCAAAAAATGAGCTTTAAATCCTGCAGGATCTTAAATTCCATTTCTGCTTTGATTTGCAGCATTTATGTGAGTTCCAGAGCAGCTTGATTTGCTCATCATAGGGATTCAGTCCAAACCCCAGCATTACTGTTTTTGACGGTGAGTGTTATTTTTGCGCAAGTATAATGTTTTGGGTGTTTTAAATGTGAATAATTGTAAAGTTCACAAAACTGAAGATGCTGATCTTTGAAGGGGAGGATGCACATGGATGGGCGTATTCAACGGGTTGACTGAGGAAGAGAAGCTCATGACAGCGGAAGTATGTTTGGAGGGGAAGGCTTTAGCGTGCTTCTAGTGGATGGAGGCAAGGTATCCGATACACTCATGAGAGGAGTTTAAGGATTGCTTGTTGGAGTGTTTTCGAGCCTTTCGGGAAGGAGACCTACACAAGCAATTCTATGCTCTGACTTGGGAGGGGGCAATTATGGATTACTGAGAGAAGTTCGAGCTCTTATTAGGGAGATTGAGGGAGATTTCTACAGCATGATTGGAAGGGAACTTTTTGAAAGGCCTAGAGCCCGACATAAGAGCAGTCATCCGCCCCTTAAGACCGTGTTGATTAGGGGAAATGATGGAGCTCACCCAGATGATGGAGGATAAAAAATAAATGAAGAAAACCGAAAGAGGCGGAAACACCGGGGGATTCTACAAAAGCACTGTGACAACCACTACATCAAGGATTCAAATGACGTTGTTTCAGAAAGAGATGGCGAAGGAGAAGATTATACACCCTCAGCCTGGGGTTAATTTTAAGCGCCTCACAGATGCAGAAGTGCAGGACAAAGAGCCAAAGGATTGTGTTACTATTGTGATGAGAAATACGCCCTAGGACACTGTTGCAAGTAGCGCGTCATTCATGTTATTTTAGTTCAGGAAGAGGACACAGAGAGTGAGGAATCAAAAGAGGAAGCAGTGGAGGAGGAGCACCTACATTTGGATGTGACGGAGATGTTCCTCAATTTGGTGGTGAGATTTATCCCGAATCACACCATAAATGTAAGGGGATGGATCGGGGCACAGCCGGTTGTGGTGTTGATGGATAACGAAGCATAGAAAACTTTATCTCAAATCATGTTGTGGAGAAACTAAGGTCGAAGTTGGTGACTACATGGAGCTTCGGCGTCATGATGGGGACAAAGGTGGAGAAACTTAGGTGAATTTGCAAGGGGTTGATTCTAGCACTACATAGCCTGCAGGTGGTGGAAGACTTCCTTTAGATTTGGATAGCAAAGATGTGATTTTGGGGATGAAGTGGCTGCGAACATTGAGAGAGATGAAGGTGAATTGAAAGTCCTTGACGATGGAGTTCCAAGTGGAGCGTAGGAAGATGGTGTTGAGAGGAGATTCTAGCTTATGCAAAACCATAGTGTCACTCAAAACCATGATCAAGTCTATTCGGGGAGCAGAATTAGATTATGACCCGACCCGCAGTTACGCAGATATTTATACTCCTTAATATGTCAAAAAAATTAACTCAAATTATATTTAGTGGCTAGTGAGGACAAATATGATAAAATTTAAAGAAATAGTTTTCTCATTAGAGGTACTACGCGAGTATACATATCGTTTCAAGTAATATAAAGTTTTCTTAAAAACCACCAGTATCGATCCCACGAGAAAGACGAAAACAAAAAACAATGAAATGAAATACAAGAATTTTAACTTTAAGAGAACTTTACTTAAAAATGTAGTAAATATCTAAAGATGAAAATTAAGTTTATTAAATTCTACAAAATGCAAGTAACAATAAATATAATCACTTAGATAATATATAAAAAGAGACTTTCTCCTTGCCAATAATTCATAATCAGTGTAGGATTTCAAAATTTATTTAGAAACTTAAATGTGGTATTGTAACAAATAAGAGTATACTTATTCTTTATTTCTTTCGAATTATGCAAAGAACATTGACTAATCTAAAGTTGGTGTCGACATGTATAGCAGTGCTAGGTAGGTTCTAGTCTCTCATTCCTAAATTACCCACTGTGCTCTCTCTATAGAATCTACCAGTGACCCTTGGCTCCAATCTCCAGACCAAATTGATAAAAGAATCTAGTCTGTCACTTTAGAAACATCAATTCAACGCCCATCAAATCTTATCTCCCTATCTATTTGCATCCCCCTTAGGACGATCGTCATTGCTTTTTCCAAGATAAAATGTGATACTTACAAGTTAAGTAATCTTAGTCATCTCGGGTCTATAAGTTTCCTCAATAAATTTTAATAATACAAGTGGTAAATTTGTAAAGTAAATGAAGATCCAGTAAAAATATCATCACAATTTTCAGGAATAAAAGAAGTTCTAAACAAAATCAAAATCACTTAATTACTTCATATTGCAAGGAGAAAGAGGAAAAATTACTCAAACAGCATGGGGATAATAAAACAAAACATATTTATAAAACTCAAACTCAAAGTACAAAACTTAAAGATAGATACAAATACTTATCTTGAATGTTCCCCCAAGCCTCTAAAATGTTTTCTCAAGCACTCATTTGAAGTTCTCTTAGTTCTCTGACTCTAACAACACCTATAAGACTCACAAACTCCAGAAATAACAAAGACTAACAAAGAAAACTTCTCACACACTTAACATTAACACACTCACACTCTATAGATCCGACTCTCCTAGCCCTTTGGAATAAATCCATATTTATAGAGCTTCGAAAATGACCAATGGTTGCTTCAGACATCTCTTCAAAATTTGGTCTCATTCAATGACTCTTCTAGAAAATAACCGTGGTACCTAGGCACCCAACCGTCTCTCCTAAGCGCTAGCTAAGTTCTATATCTGATGATTAGGCGCCAGTTCGGCTGGTTTGATATTTTTCTTTAGTTTAGCCCATTTTGCTTCTTTTTGATGTATTTTTGCTCATTTTTATTCTTGAACTATTTTTCTTGCACCTACAACCCAAAACATAAAAATATCTTTCATTAAAACAAAATATCCTAAAAAATTGAGCATAAAATGTGCATAAAAATATGTAATCTTAAGGTGGATCGGATTACTAGGTGGAGTTGCAAAACATTGACGAGATTCGAGATTCAGAGTTGATAGAGTTTCTGGAAGGGATCCAACAGCTCCTACAACAGTTTACGGATGTCTTCCAACAACCAAGTGGGTTACCTACTTTGAGGGACCACGAGAACGCTATTACATAGGAGAGTGTTTCCCCCATCAGCGTTAGACCATATAGATACCCCCAAATTCAAAAAGATGAGATTGAGAAGCTAATCAAAGAGATGCTCGAGGCGAGCATATCAAGCCTAGTGTGAGTCCTTTTTCCAGTCTCATCCTGTTAATGAAGAAAAAAATGGAAATTGGAGATTTTGTGTGGACTACCGGGCGGTGTTGGACAAATTTCCTATCTCTGTGATTGATGAATTACTGGATTAGCTTTATGGGGCGGCCATTTTCTCAAAAGTTAATATTAAGTCAAGGTATCACCAAATCAAGATGAATCCATCGGATGTGCACAAGACAACAGTCAAGACATATGAATGATATTATGAGTTCTTAGTGAAGTCGTTTGGCCTCACTAACGCCCCAATGACATTTCAATCCCTCATGAATAGGATTTTTCAACCTTATCTCTGAAAAATTGTCCTAATTTTCTTTGATGATATTTTGATCTATAGTCGTACAAAGGCAGAGCATGAGGGGCACCTGAGGACAGTCCTAGAGATGTTGAGGGAGCAATGGTTGTATGTTAACTTGAAGAAATGTTCTTTTGTGCAATTACAGGTAGAATGCCTGGGACATGTGGTGACAGAGCGGGGACCAGTTCGAGATCGAGGTTATGGTTGATTGTCCCTTAATAAGGAATTTGAAGGAGCCGAGAGGATTTCTGGGTCTCATCGGATATTACCAGAAGTTCGCGAGAGGATATGACACGATAACATGACTACTGACAGAGCAGTTGAAGAAAGACAATTTCAAATGGGGTGAAGCAGTGTGACACAACCATTTGAACATCTGAAGAGGGTCATGACTAACGTCCCGGTTTTAGCACTTCCATATTTCAGTAAACCATTTGTGATGAACACGGATACTTCGGGTAAGGAATTGGAGCAGTGCTCATGCAGGATCAGCGGCTAATTGCCTACTTCAGCAAGGTTCTTATAGTAAGAGCAAGGTTAAAGTTAATATATGAACGAGAATTGATAGCATACAGAAGTGGTGGTCCTACCTGTTAGGGCAACATTTTTTGGTCAGAACAGATCGGAGAAGTTTAAAGTATCTTGTGGAGCAACAGATCGTGACTGAGGAGCATCGAAAATGACTATCCAAACTACTAGGATATGATTTCGAGATTTAGTACCAAAGCAGCTGACACCCTGTCAAGAAAGATGGAGGAACCCCACTTGACGACCCTGTCGGTACACTTGGTCCGAGATTGGGAAGCCTAGAGGTAGGAGAGTGAAACGCATAAAGAGCTGAGGAAAATAAGATACGAGTTACTATAGGATCTGAGAAGTCATTGAGAATATGCATTGAGGGGGCAGTAGCTGCTGATTCATGCTACCCAAAATGTCGAAGTATATTCTCAGATTATTATAGGAGTTTCATGGCAGTGTGATTGGGGGACACTCGGGGGTGCTAAAGACCTATAGTTGTCTGGCGGCAAAACTTTATTAGGTGGGGATGTGTAGAGACGTCGAGGGTATGGTGGCTAAACGTGTGTATGTCATAGGCACAAGTACTTGACCACGACACCAGGAGGGTTACCATGAGCATTAGTATTACCGGGAAAAGTGTGGGAACAAGTGATGATGGACTTCATCGAGGGATTGCCACGGTTAGAATGGTTCATGGTGAGCATGGTGGTTGTGGACTGCTTGAGTAAGTATGCACATTTCATTCACATATGCATCCCTACATGTGTACCACCAAATTCTATATCTGATTCTATTCCCAAAAGAGAGCATTTTGGGGCATTTACATACGTACCACCAACTTGTATGTATGTACATATCTAACGCCCAAACCTTACTTCTTAGGTTTATACCAGTCTTTCTTATCACATCAAAAAGAACATTCTTTTAACTTTTAAAAAGTAAAATACACATTTTCATGCATACATAAGGTGGCATATATGTAAAAATTAAAGTTTGTGTCAGATATGAAAAAACATAAAAATTACATGGTGCGTATGTAAATCTTTCAAACATGTCTCATACCTTCCAAGTTATTGTTCTTACAAGATAGATGCATCTATTAAATCAACAGAATAGAGTAAGGATTAGAACTAATGCCGGTGTTAACCCAATCCAAAATAAAAATGCAAATATTATTTCTGAAATTCAAAAGTGGTACAAACAAAACACATAAGAACATAGAAATACAATAACAAGCACAACTACATGTATCCCGAAGTCGGTGGTGCTGCAATTTAAGAAGTTGGTGGTGCTGCAATTTAAGAGGGGTGACGGGTGGAGGGCTGTAGGGTGATTGTGGGATGGACAGCAACCCGAGGAGGCTGCATTGGACGGAAGACTATGCCGCAACAGTCATGGCAGCAGGGAGTTGAAGGAGGGGTGGTGGCAGGTGCAAGTGGGGGAAGCTACAGGGGTAAGGAGCGATTGGTATGCAGGGGAGTGGACAGGAGAGGCAAGTTGGTCCAGCATGGCACTGGTGGGGTGGCAAGGCGCTGTCCCTCAGGGATCAGCAGAGATAAACAAGCGAGGGCTGGGAAGAGGAGGTGGAAAGCAAGTGGAAAGGATCGCAACAGAAAAGAGGGCAGTGGATGGCAACGAGCAGGGAAGGGCGGCAGCAAGCAATAAAAGGAAAGATACACATAACTCGGGGCTGGCTACAACCAAAGCATTTTCTTGCCGTTGGATACAACACGAAAAGGGAGACGTCGGCTGCTGTTCTGACAAAACTCAGCAAAAACTAAACCCTAATGACAATAACATAACATATATATTGTAAATAACTAGGAGGGGGGACCCCGCCTCTTGGGCAACTACCCTAGCCCATCTGGTAGGCCCTGCTCCCCTATTGGCTGAACCAGTTCAGCCCCCTAGGGAGCCCCACTTTATTTTTCTTACAAGATAGATGCATCGATTAAATCGAGAGAATAGAGTAAGGACTATAACATAAAAAGAAATACGATGCTGAACGTTCATATTATTTGTCCATACAGCCAGGGAAATTGTGAAATGTATGCTGTATAAGTTTACAGTACCTTTGCAGCAACTTCTCCAAGATTTGCAGAGATGGCAAAATGATTCTGAATCACGCGAAATGAAGGGTCCTTCAGTCCTCTTGCTATAGCCTGCATAAACAGCGTCATCTAAGAAATTCAAAGAGTTGTTGGGAGAAATAAAATGCATCTCATTAAATATGGTTGATATTTATGTCAACCTAGTCCAACGAATGGAAATATTTCAACCAACTCTGCAACTCATAATTGTATAGATCATAAAAAATCATGTTAGCCTGATACTAGTGTAAAACTAGTAAGCAAATGTATAAGTTTTTTACAAAAGAACAGTTGTATAGAACGTGAAAGCAGTCTCTTCCCAGGCAGCAAAGTCATGAAACAAGTAAAATGTCAAAATAATCTCATAACCATTTACGTGGATCCATTTTAGTCCTAGTGTCTATAAAAATTTCAAAGTAGTCCCTAGTAACTCATTATTTTAGGGCTGAGAAAGTCCTCAGAGGGGACTATTTCAACCCACATTAAAAACATTTGTGAACTAAATTGATATCTTTAGACTCTTGTACTAAAATGACCTTAAAAAAAAAATTTAGTGGACTATTTTGACACTTTCCTCGTCATAAAATTGTAATCGACTTCGTTAATCCATGGTAAACAATGGAAAAGGTAGATTTTAATGTGTGATAAATGAAGCAAATATAAACTAAAGTTTGACTATCCATTCGATATACATAACAGAATAATATTGGTGGGAAAACAATTAAACAGCTAAATTGGGCAAAATCGGGAAAAAGCAACCCTTCAAATCATACTATCTAAGAGAAAAAAAAAAGTTAAATAATATTTGATTACCTTCATTAAGTTTCCAAATGAAGCAAGTGGGAGAAAATATGCAGGATACAGTTGTGTACTAATCTCAAAGACACTGCACTAGGGGCCAATCAGTCCAAAGCATCTTTAATTAAATAAAAGACGATATTTTTCAAGGTAAAATGTAAACCTGCCAGCACTTCCAATAATATCCGCATACATCCTCCACTGCTTTGGATCATCATCAAACAGGTAACCATAGCGTCCACCTACCAGACATCAATACCATTTGCCGTAGATGAAACAACTTTTGGTTTTATTCTCAGGGAAATTTACATACATTCCCCTCAATTCCTATGTATTTACATATATACCATTTGAACTTCAATTTTTACAATATATGCCGCCTTACCTATGCATGTAAAGGTGTCTTTTATTTTCACGAAAAGGTGTATTTCTCTTTTTAAAAGTCAAAATAGCAGTTTTTTTTTATGTGACTTGAAAATTTTGGATGGTATATATGTAAAGAGTAAAATTTTGGTGTTAGATATGTAAATACTTAAGAGTTGTGTGATTTGGATGTCAATGCCCCTTCATTTTTTTCAAGCTGCTCATACCAATGAAAAGACGTCCAATCGCTCCCAAACCATCTTTTGACACCCATCTGGAAAAAACAATGCAAGCAACACAAACAAACGTGTTTGAGCGTTCTTAAGCATCAAAAGCTAAATTACAAACATTTTCATTACTATATTTCAGGATTATTTCTTATCAATTGATTAATTATGTAAACATAGTTGATTCTTCAACAATATACCAGATAATAACTAAATTACAGCATAATAACACACAAAACAAATGTGTTTGAGCATTCTTACGCATCAAAAGCCAAAATCCAAACATAAACATTACTATATTTTAGAATTATTGCTTATCAATTGATTAAATATGTGATTAAATTTGTAAACATAATCGACTCTTCCAGAATATATCAGACAATAATTAAATGATAGCAGAAGTTTAATGACAATAATTTAAGTAACATTTGATTGTTTCTTATTCAGTGAATGCCTTCACACTCGGTCCACAACCAACTGATTTCAATTAATGGCTACACAATGATATCGAACATCATTCATCGCGGAAACAACCAAATGTAGAAAAAGATAAAAGCACTCAAAGAGAAAAATATTATGTTATATAAACCTAAGAAACACTGTACTTCTGTTTATATTGGCTAAGAATGATAGTTCATAAACTCCAGAACGCAAACAGTAAAAAGACGCACAGAAATGTGGAACTGACAGTCAAAACAGTTTGTATTGGAATCTCCTCAGAAAAAAAAACAGCAGGACAAATTCGGAATTTCAAAGAACATTTTAAATAATAACAATAATAACCAAAAATTACCTTAATCTCTTCAATTCTACAAATCAAACTTTAATTGGATTAAATTTTATGCATAAACAACAACAATGTTACCACGGAGAAAAATATTTTAAAAATAATGAAGGGACATTTACAAACATACCAACCGATTCTTATGTATTTACATATCTAACACCTAAACTTTGATTTTTACATTTAAATCATCAAAATATTTCATATCATTTTAAAAATATCAATATTTTAACTTATAAAAAGTGAAATACACCTTTTCATGCATAGGCAAGGAAGCATAAAGTAAAAATTGAAGTTCAAGTGTTAAATATGTAAATACATAACAATTGAGTGGTATACATGAAAATCTTCCAATACTGAAATGCTCAACAGTCTTAGGAAATGCCGATTGCGGACTCCCAAAATACATAACAAGTTTATCAAAACAGTAACATATCAAACTCTCAAAGTTTCATAAGTGTCAAAACAAAAACTTAAAATAAAAAAAAAATTGCAGTTGTCCCCAAACTGCAAACGCTGTATTGGGTTATAAAGTGGCAAATAATTTTCACTGAAATTCCTAAGAATAAATTCCACAACTAGAAAACTCAGTTAGGGCGGTGAATTACCTCAAATAACAAAGATTGTTTGAAAATTGAATTGATTTTTGGCTTGAATCAAGCTCAACAAGGCCGGTTTAGCCCAAATCAACCAACTTATGATCAGATGTGTGTGTGTGTGTGTGCCTATATATATATATATATATTTCTCTATGTGTAGAATGAAGGAGGAGGATACAACATTTCAGGCTCAGCTGATCAAATTCCTGGAGGTCAAGTTGGAGGATATGGTGAATGTCAACAAATGGTTAAATTCATTTCTAATTTTACAAGATAAAAAAATTAATTAAAAAAAGAAAAAAACAAAGTTTCACAAATAATCATAAACTTATTATTTTTGTTCGGAGGGAACCAGGTTTGAATCAGTGATCTACATGTTTTGTCTTATCACGACCAAACCAGGGAATTTGGAGTTAACCAAGGTGCGAACTGATGATCAGACATTGAAAGTAAGCATTTTTTAATAATAACATAGTCCACTATAATTTTGAATTATAAAAGAGCCACTAATCCACACAACACAAATAAATAATCCTCTAACAAATACATTAGATCATTCAGTGATATAGTAAAATAAATAGTATGATAAAAAATGACAAATATATAACTCAAACAAACTATTTATCACGACCCGACACTGGGACTTAGATTTAACTAAGGCTGGGATGAACAGTTAGACGTAAAAATAAATATTTCTAAACAGTAACATTATTCCACAATAACACTCAATTATAAAGAACTGCTAATCCACAATATATAAGTAAATATCCTTTAATAAAACAAATTAGATCATACATATGTTGCAATAAAACAAGTAATACCACAAAAATGATACCACATAAAAAAGCAATATGCTATCTATCATCAACAATCTCTCTCCTATTGTAAACAAACTCTCTTCTATAAACCATTTCAGTTTAGCATACTTCTTTGTAAAATAATAGCTAAATAACATATTAAGTTTAAAGAAATTTAATGAATAATTATCATTTTTATGCAATTAATTATTATGCAAATGTTTGACACGAATGTTTAACGAAATATGTCACTAATCCATAATACATAATTAAACATCCTCTAATAAAACACATAAGATCATCCATATGCTACAATAAAATAAGTAAAATCATAAAAGTGATAAGACATAAACATAGCTTTGTTACCTTTCTTCAACAATCCATCTCCTCCCGTAACGAACTCACTTCTATCAGTCATTTCAGTTTAACAGACTTTTTTCTAAAAGAGTATTTAAATAATATATTAAGTTTTTAAAAAAATCAATGAATAATTATCACTTCACCATGCATTAAATTGTTATGCAAATACATAACATCAATGTTTAAAAGAACATGTTGATCAATCTATAAAGTAAATATTATATTTTTTATTTTATAAAATTTTTATTAAAATATCTTAATCAATTATTTTTCACCGTTTTAATTAATTATATATATATTTTTTTCATTTAAGAAGTAATCTCAAGAGAAATGTCAAAATATACCAATAAAGATACAAAATTTTCCATTTATTTTAACATTTTTGTATCATAAAGATATAACATTTACTATTTGTATCATAAATATACAACATTCATCATTTTGCACCATAAAAATATCTCATGTATCGTTTTATATCATAAAGATATTACATTTATCAGTTCCTTTACTTTTAAAGTGCACAAGTACAATAATGTCCCCATATGGTTACATAAGGAAGCGAGTGTTAACAAATTTAATTATTTATCTTTCCTTTAGTTTATTTTTAAATTTTTTCAATCATTAAATTTATTTATTCTTCATTTAATGCAGATTAAAAGGCGAAAGAATTGAAATCATAAAATATTCATTTCTTTTTCTCTTATTTTCTTTGAGTCATAGATGTGTTTTAATGTGTAAAAATAAATAAAACATTAAAAAATCAAATTAATTAAATATAATACAAAAAATAGTAATCACTCAGCTTGATTCTACCTCATAAAATTATTCTTTCAAATCCTGTAATTTTCTCTTTCACAACCTCAATTTCTTGCCTTAGTTTATCTAAAATTTAAATTAAATTTGTTATTCCTAAACATTAGTCTTTAATGTCCTGCTAATTCACTTAAATTTATAATTCATATAAATTAATGCATACCTCAATTTCCCTCTCTTTAGTCTTCTTACATTTTTAACAACTCCTTTCAACCTTCCAATTCAATAATTTGAAATTGCCAGAATCTACCATTCAGTAAAACTTACTATTCATATTATCAATCTCAATTTTAAACATCTAATATTAATTTTAATGAGAAACCCTAACTTAATTAATATCTCCAACTCTCAACGTTTGCTAACTAAATTGCTGATTTTATTTCATAAAATTTTGTCACTATTTTAATAACATTTTAAATTCAAACAATTTGTATTAAAAAACATAAACCTTACCTCCTTCACTGCCATCAAATCACTTCAATTTCCAATCCAACATTGTTTTCTTCTATGCTTTTTTTAAATTTTAATTAAATAAATCCATATTAACACTTTAAATAGAATTCAAATAATATATATAAACTAAACTTCAAACCATAAATTGGACCTTAACTTGTATGAAATGTTCGGTCTTCATGTTTCCTTTACCCCAGCGCTTCTCCTTTCCCTTTCCTGCACGATGTCTTCTTCTTCCAAGCACACGCATTATTCTTTCTCCTTTGATTTGGCTTGATACAACCCTTCCAGCACGGGAACCAAACACGCAAACGAGTCCATGCATGGAATGCACGTATGGCGTCGTTTGTCACACCAGCTTCAACACAAACATCCATGCACACCTCCACTGCAAGGAACAACGTCATCTTCTTACCCTAAACACACGTGAGTGTCAAATCAATCACAAGGAATGTCAACTCCCTTCCTTTGCTCGAATGCGGCGTCATCAGCAAAGTATGAGACCTCCTCATTCTCCTTCTTTTTCTCACTCACCCTCACCTCTATAATAACCCAAACAACATCACATCCTTGACTTGATCCGGGTAGCCCAACAATAAAATCCATGAAAAACTCCTATTTTTACTCTGGTATTGGCAATGACTGTAATTGACCTTGGTCTTTGATGCTCTGCATCCATTAGTTGATGTATAGAGCACTTAGCCACAAATATTGCGACACACTTTTTCAAGCTTGATCACCAAAATATTTTTTTTTGAGCTCGTGATATATTTTATTACTCCCTAAATGAATAATATAGTCAGACAAATGCGCTTTCTCTGAAATTTCTTTTTTTAACTTATTCACATCTAGATCATAAATTATGCATTTGTATTTCAATAATACATCTCTCTCTATCATATATCCCTCCAAACTTCATGCATTAACTAGCTATATGATCTCCTAAACAATAATATAAATGGCCAATGATAGTCTAATTCCGCCTTTTAAATTAGACTGAACTATTAGCAAATTTAACCTAACAATGTTCTTATCAACTATAATCAATCACTGACAACTCTACTTTTTCCATATATTTGATTAAATGTTCTTGTTGAATAATCGGCCAATTTGAACTACAAAAAGTCTTCTCATTTAGTGCATCGACAACCACATTTACTTTCCAGATGATATTGAATATCCAAACCATAACCCTTTATAAATTTCAGTCATCTTCGCTTTCTCATACTCAATTCTTTTAGTGTTAATATATATTTTAAGCTATGTACACCTCACATCTAACTTCATATAAATAGTGTATCCAAATTTAAGTTAAAACACATGTTGTTAGCTCAAAGTCCTGTGTAAGATGATTTTTTTCATATTTCTTTAATTACCCAGAAACATAAGTAATAATTTTTCAATGTTGTATGAGCTCACATCTCAATCTCTCTAAAAATGCATTAGAGTAAATTGAAATACATCCGACCCTAAAGGAATAGTCAAAATTGGGATAGTCATTAATCAAGTTTTAAGCTTCTGAAATGTCTCCTCATAATGATTTGTCCATTTAAATTTTACCGCTTTCTATGTCAGTCTGAATAGTGGTACAACAAACTTAGAAAGTTATTCGACAAATCTCTTATAATAGCCAACATGAGAGTCTGACACTAACCTTCTGCTTTCTTTGATTGTGATTTGTCTAGTAATCCTGCAAATATATAACTTAGGCTCTTTAAGGACCTAAAATAATCTTTTTAATAAAAATCCTAATAATAGGTTGAGATAAATTCAAAATTTAGGATTAAAACATTCCAACTATTTAAAACCCACACTTTGCTTTTTTGCATGGCCTTCGGGTGGATTTTAAAATGATTTGCATAGCATGACAATATCCCAGGTCATCCTTAATAGGTTCTCCACTTTAGGACTTTAGATAATTGCATCATTCTATGTGTCACGAGAAGAAGCCTTCGCGCTTCTTCAACCCGACTGATCTAGCATAGATTTCTACTTGGGTGATTGTCTAGCACGTTTAGGGTGTTAGAGGCTTCCCCGACCTACACGGGATATAAGTCTCTTTGTAGAGGAGTTTTGGCTTTGTAGCTGGACGGTCCATCTTCTCTTTTTATTCTAGCAGCATCTCCTTTATTGATTTGGCGAGTATAAGATACTCTACCTCTAGAGGGTCATAGGGCATTAGAGTCCTTTTGAAACTTAGGGCTACTAAGGTTTCCTTGAACGATGTAATTCATAGATTACTAACAAGGATTTGGGTCGAGTTTGGTCGAATACCTTAACGATCAGGTAGACGTAGGGTTCTAATATCTTAGGATGACAAATTCATGGTATCCTGAGCCAGCTATCTCTGATCGAGTAGGATTTCTTCGCCTCCCTTTTCTTAAGCCCCTTTGAGCTCATTCGTCATTTTGTGACCTCGATGATTTCACCATATTGCCAATAATCCGCTCTTCGTTTGGGATACAGTGATTCGCCCTCTGCCCTTATGGCCCGATTAAGTCATGCTGCTGTCAAGTCGAGTTGGTTATTTCGCGGGCCTCGTTCATCGGCGTGCCGCCGTCGATTTGTGGATATAAGAGATTCACGCTCTCCCATGCGGCTTGATATAGGCTTCCGAGGTGGCGAGATGCTCATGGTTGAAATAACCATCCTTTTGGTAGCATATCCGCCAGTTATCATGATAATGTAAGCAATACTTCTTTAATCGAGAGTATTCTTGAGTATTTCCAATATGTAATTAATCAAAGGAATATGTTTCTTTGGGAGTGCTATTGACCGCAGAATAAAAATATTCTTTTTAGTTTTCTTGTTATGGGAGATTTATGTATCAATTCTCTTTATGGATACCGTGTTTCACGTTATTTCAATCTGATTATGTTCGAACGTATGCTCTCAATCTATCACACAAGAATTACCTTACATAAATCTTTCATATTTCTTTTAAATTTGGTTGTCTATCTTCGTCGTACGTCATTCTTTTCGATTTCTCTCATCTTCAAATCATTTCTATGATCCGAGAGGGAGAAATATTTGAAAAAGAGAATCATACGACAATATATAAATAGACAAGTTGACGACTATGAATTCCATTAAAAAGAAACAAAAAACATGCTTCTCTCTTCAAAACATTAAAATTGTTCTAAGCATCCTCTGACTAGACAAATTTATCAGATTTGAGAAGTTTCATCAAAGGTGTCCTGATTGAGCTAAAATTCTTAATAGACCTCCTATAAAACGAAGTCAAACTACGAAACTAGCATACCTGAGTAGAGGACAAGGTCTAGGTCAAGCCACAATAACCTCAATCTTCGTTGGGACCATCTCAATGTGAGCAACGAAAACAATATACCTCAAAAAGCATGTTTGCGATATAAAAATGAGAATTCCTTAGATGACTATATAATAGCTCTGCCCTCATAAACTAAAAAATATATTGCAAATGTTGTAAGTGTTCCTCCTTTGAACTATTGAATACCAAGATATCATTAAAATACAAAATCATGAATATTCCAATAAAGTCTCGAAAAGCCCGATTCATCAGCCGCATGAACGTATTCAAGGTATTGGACAAACTAAAGGGCATGTTTGTTCGCTCATACAATCTATTCCACTAAAGCTCCACCCATGCCTTCCTTATTACTTCTTCCTTCTTCTCTATATCTCACTCTCAGCTCTCTAATACGTCCCTTATAGTTCAAAAGTTGACGTTCGTCTCCTAATTAGAACCGTCAATATGGTTATTTCGAGTCGACCTATTGAGTCAATCATTATTATTGTTCTTTTTTACCAGTTACTACAATATCATTCTTAAATATCTCAAATCGCGTCAATATGGTTATTTCGAGTCGACCTATTGAGTCAATCCTTATTATCATTCTTAAAAATCTCAAATCGGTTCAATCTTTTGCTGCAATGAGAAAATGTAAAATGCATATCATGTATAACATGCATAACAAATAGAAAGATTTACATACATACCACTCAATTCCTATGAATTTACATATCTTACACCTAAACTTCAATTTTTACATACATGCATCTCATTTATGCATAAAAATGTGTATTTCACTTTTAAAAAGTTAAAATACTGGTATTTTTTATGTGATAAAAAAGATTTGGCTGGTGTACATGCAAAAATCAAAGTATAGGTGTTAGATATGTTAATACAAAAGAATTGGGTGCTAAACCTTTAAAACATAATACTTTGAGCAAAAATAAGACATGTAAATATGTATATCATGTGTGACATGCATAGAAAACAATACTTTGAACAACAATAAGATATTTGAGTCTAATAATGTGTTTCTTTCTAAGCTAGTTGAAATAAATTGCATATGGATGTGACTGATAAGTTTGGTAAAAATTTTACATCAAGAAAAAGTTCAAATTTTAATTATAAGGATAAAGAAACGGACAGAAAATAATTACTGGATGACAGCAGTAGAAGCAGCAACACCAGTCCGTGAATAGGAGCCGACACCTACAGCCTGGGGACCCATTATATGCAACATATTGATGTTCAAGTCAACAAATAAGTCCGTCAAATAATTAGAAATTTTCTCATAATAAAAAGGCATACATCACACATTAATGAATGTTATAAACTTCTTTTAGAAAATATTTCATCAGGATACGCTATATCTTTAAGTATCAAAGCTGCAAACTCTATCAGCAAACCGAGAAAGAAAATAGAGAAATTCAGAATTACTTACCTTAAGAAGACTAGAAGTAACTAATGTATGGCAAATCCACCCTGTTACATTTGTAGGAAATTGCAATAGCATGTAATCCAAATAATCATCTGATACAGAAGCTGCATAATTTTTTTAAAAATAACAATAAGTAAAAACTAAAGAAGCATTGAAGTTATCATGGATTCTATTTTGATTGTCAAATATACAAATTTCTGCTAAAATAACTAGAGAGTCATATTTTTTTTATTAATGCTACTCAAAGTTGCCACAAATGAGTTAATCAACATGTGGAAATATTATGTTTATGGACAATGTGACAAATCCAAATTAAAAATATATGTATGCATCTAAAAATGGAAACAAGTCAGCAGGGCAATGGGAAATATGATCGAATAGGTTCCTTCAGCCAAAAGTATTCTTAAGTGAAGGGGTACACAAGCAATTAGAAGCCAGCATTAAGAAAGTAAATGAGGAATGTGAAGGGAATGGAGAAGAAAGAGGGACACAACTGCAATAAAATGAGCAAAAGTTGATAGAAAGGGTTGGAAAAAAAACTCTATTTACAACAATGCATGACTTGAATGAGTATAAATAACACATTAAAACTTGTATACAGTAGGAGTAAGGCATGACGAAGATAATTATTTATGAATTGTTTTCTAATACCCATCATAAAGCCATAATATGAAATGTAGAACAATTTGAAGAATTTTGGCTGTTAGAGTTCTGTAGGTGTACAATAAGTGAAGGTGGTGATGGGTAGGAGGGAACGTGCATGCCCTCGGCATATGAGAATTCCTTCAGTAGATAAGGGTATATACTTCAAAAAAAAACTAAAATCGTCAAAGTCACTTCTTGCATTTTCATATATTTAAAGGGCCAATTACTCAGCAATTCTCATTCAATCAAAGAGTATTGCAAATTCATGATCATCATAATTGGCCATTTCTACTTTGAGCGTTCCATGTCGTTTTATCTCCAATTTATACAAGTTCTTTTCCAAAGTTCTACTGATTTTACTTTTGAAAAGCCTCTTCTACTTCTTCTTCCACTCACATCACTTCTCTTGTCACACCTTACTGGTATATTTTTTTTGCTCTTAGTTTGTCATACTCAAACCACTTAAATTCTATTTTCTTCTCCGTCACAGTTACCTTATTAGTCAATGATTTATCTTTTGCCCAACACTACTCCAAATAGTAATATAGTGAGTTGTATTGTCATTTTATAGAGTTGTTCGAGTCTCCATGATACGGTTTGCAACATTATAATTGATTTTAAACACCACGTTTTAATTCAATAGGTTATATGTTTTCCATTTTTATCTTTCCAAGGATATATATTTGCATTTATCCCTACATATCATTAGATTTTTTATTTATAAATTTTACCAAGACTATCCATGATACTATGTTATAGCATAATGCCACTCATGCATATTTATTAATTTTAAAAAACATGCATTTACTAACAACTGTCTAAAATCTGCCGCAATAACCACAATAGCTCCACCTCCAACAGCAAACAATTTCAACCTTGTTTTCTAATAAAACTAAAGTATTGGAGTAATCAAATGATAACAGTATATCAAGGCAATTAATAGAAATGTCAGAGGAAAAAGATTATATCAGCCCAGAAAATATAAATTAAAAGCCTAAGGAATTAAATCATTAGACACTTCAAAATTATGAAGTTGTCCATTTGAGTCTACTTGTTTGACTCTTCCCCAACATGTTCTTCCTACCCACACCTTCATGTCACAATTCCCACTGCTTCATCCCCTCAAACAATCCCATCGACACATCTCCCTCCACCCACTCCATGTGCTCCTCAACCTGAAACTTCAACTCCAACTCCACCTTCCTCCTCTCCACAACAACTGCCACAGCCCCTCAAAAAACCAATGCCAGACTCTTATCACAAACAAGCGATCTCAAACAACTGCTAATTCTTGATGTATCCCACAACACCTGGAACCTTCCTGTTACTACACAATAGTAAAATATGAATGCTAGCAAAAAGTCATGTTAGAGGAATTTCAAGCGCTACAGGCTCAAGGAACCAAGAAACTTGTTTTATCCACCAAAATGTGTTGGGCTACAAATGACATATAAAACCAAGCTGAGCCCATATGGCTCTATTGTTTGCTAAAAAGCACGTCTTGTTGCTCAAGGCTTCAAATAAGGATAAGCTTTGATTATAGCAACACATCCAGCCTGATCGTCAAAATGTCCATGATTCTCATCTTGCTCGCAATTTCCACATATAACTATTGACCCATAAACCAATTTGATGTCCTAATGTCTTGCTTCATGGAAAACACACCGACACAATATAAATGATGTAATCCAAAGGCTTCATCAATCTGATTATCCAAACTATCTTTGTTAACTTCCAATTCTATGCACTCTCTCACAACTTCAACATAGTCTTGTATATCACTTTAGTTTAGTCAATCCCTTGATAATTATCTATGATCAAGGCCGCATTCATATATTTATTCTTATTTATGTAGATGATATTCTAGTAACTAGGAATAATGGCCCCTTTCATCAACAAACTAATTTTCAAACCTTAATAAAAGCTTAGAAATCTAGGCAAAGTTGATCGCTTGGTTTCCAAAATTCCAAATAAACCAAACACCCCAAGGCCTTCACCTAAATTAATATCTCTATGCTCGTGACATTCTAACCCGTGTTGGAATGCTACCTTTCAAACCTGTACAAAACCCCACTACAACAAAAACAGCCCCAACAACACTTTCAAACCATGGCTTCCCTAACCTGCATCTAAATCGTCACCTAGTGGGCTCACTTCAATATCTAACCGTAACTCGCCTAGATATCTTATTTATCGTGAACGAAGCTTGCAAACACATGTACAAACTCCTCATATCTCACTATAAATTTCTCAAAAGGTTGCTTCGTTACATCCAAGCATGATTAACTTTGGTCTCTCTATCACAACAACTAATCTCCACCTATAACACTATTCTGACTATGATTGTGTCAAAGATTCCAAGAATAAAAAACCTAGAATAAGCTATTCTTAGGAAACACCATAACATTATGGTCCATCAAAAACCAATCAACAATTGCTCGCTCTTCAACATAAGTTGAATGCTATGCTCTCACAATAGTGAACAACAAAATTGAGTGAATCCAAATGCTACTTTAGAAATTCCATGTGCCTCCTACAATCCACTCTACTCTTTTGTAACAGTATGTCCTCTTTAGTATAGCAAATAACCAAAATTTTCATGTTGGTGCCAAATAAATAGAAATTGAATACTAATTTATTCGAGACTACATCAACACTTAGATCATATATGTTCAACATATCTCTCATTATCAAATTGCCAACACTTTCAACAAATTAGTTCCCACCCCATAATTCCAACAATGCAACAAGTTGATATTAAATTAGTTAGGTTTTAAACATTGGTATTCATGTGGAGGTCATACTAGAAATAGTATAGGTGTACTTACAAATAAGTTTTTGAAAAATAATGTTGTTAAATTAGTAGATTTATAGATATATTTATAACACTAATGATTGTTGTTGATACTAAGATTTTTAATATTATTAATATTTATGCTCCGCAAATAAGTTTGGTATATTTTTTGAAAAGGTCTAGAATAATTAATATAAATGATACCTATTAAAGAAATATTTTTTATTGTAGAAGGTTTAAATTGATATATTGGTAGAATGATAAAAGATTTTTAAAATATTCACAGCAGCTATAATTTTTGAGTGACTAATAAAGAAGATAAAGTTATATTTGATTTTGCTAAATGATTTTGTTATTGTTAATACTTCTAAAAAAAACATGAGCATATTATCACTTATAAGAATGACGATATAGAAGGAGATATTATTAGTAGAATTCAAGTTGGATGGTTGAAGTAGAGGAATGCATCGAGCCTATTATGTGATATAAAGTACCGTTTAGACTTAAAAGGAAATTTTATAAGAAAGTGGTGAGACCTAAAATGCTTTATGACGCAGGATGATAGCTTGTAAAAGAGAAGAATAAAATTAAGTTGGTTGTTGTTGAGATGAGAATGCTCAAGTGGATGAGTGGTTTTACGCTTAGAGACAAAATGTGAAATGAATATATTTTTGAAAGGGTTGGAGTAGCTCCAATGGCGGACAACAAAAGAGAGAGTCACCTTAGATGGTTTGGTCAAAATAAACGTCAACCATCTGATGACCCAATTAAGAGGTTAGATGTTTTAAATTTGACTTATGCTAAGAAAGGTAGAGATAGACCTGTTGCAACAGCAGCAGCAGCAACAGGTTGTTGTTGTTGCTGTCGTGCAACAAGCAGCATCAGCGGGTTGTTGTTGTTATTGTTGTCGTGCAAAAAGTTGATTCTTTAGTTGAGAACCATCAACATGAGGTGGGATGACAACATTTCAAAATCTGCCACAACAACAATAGATGCTCCACCCCCAACAGCAGACAATATGGATACTTAGGATCTGTTTGAGACAGTTGTTGATTATTTATAATCTGTTGATAAACATATTATTCTGATGATCTGATAATCTATAGATTATCAGAATAAGCTGGTTTGTTGTTTGAGGCAGCTTATTCAGAACAGCTTAATGGGAGCTGTTGTTGAATAAATGATCAGTTTGCCCCTGTTTGATTAAGCAGTTTGTAACAGAACTATTTATGAAAAATAATAGAAAAAACAAATGTCTGACAAACTAACATTGCCAAATTTCAAAAACTTGTGCTATTTTATGCAACAATGTGACAAACTAACATTGCCAAATTTCAAAAACTTGTGTTATTTTATGCAACAATGCCAAACTAAAATTGCCAAATTTCACCGCATTCTAGCAAATGTTTTATAAAACTGAAAAAATGAGGATGCCAATAACTACTACATCTCATAGAAAGGATGTCAACCCTCATTACAATCATTGTTACATCCCATAGGTGTGTTTCACAATAACTACATGATAAGCCAATGAAGATAGTGGCATTGGAATAGACAATAGATATATAGCTGATGAAGAAATAGTTTCATAATCTCCATTCCAAATCTTATATATTTACATATGCAAAATCAAACGTTAATGTACTATATATGTTGCATGGGAGGAGTAAGAGAATTTAACCCATCTACCTCAGGGAAATAAAATGACATTCATTTCCCTTCTAAATAACCCACCATTCATCTCCTTCTAAAATAAAAAATCTTCTCTTATAAAATATTTTCAACTAGCAGAAGTTCTGCCCCCAATTCATTTTTACTTGGGACATAATCATGCTTCACAAATGCCAATAAAATATTTTCCACTAGCAGCACCATAATTTCATCACCCCTTAAAAATATAAAGCTTTGTGTTTTAAAGCTTTGTGTTTGCTTTGTGTTTTCATACATAAGCCAATTCCTATATATTCACATACCTAACATCTGAATTTTTTCTTAAAACCCCATTATACCAAACAAAGCTTTCATATGACGGCACAGGCAACGATCACAGGGAGCCTGTGAAATTTCATACGAAGGATCCCAGTAATACGAAGGATCAAAAAATTTCGTAAACAGTTAAGTATGAAGAAATTGCACGAAGAAATCTCTGTAACACAGGATAAAAAATTTATGCCTGGTAATAGCATTTCCCAACTCACCATAATTCATACAATCCCAGACAACGACACAAATAACATTTCTCTACAGGGAAGAGGAGATACCTGCGAAAATTTCAAACAACTTTCGATCCACCAACCTAATGCCAGACGGGAAATGGGAGAGCAGAGGGGTGCACAGGATCAAGGAGTCCGATTGCAGAGCTAGGGTAATGACAACGACACGGGATCGAGGAGCGGAGCCGAGATCAGGGGAGTGATCGCAGATCTAGGGCAATGACGACGATACAGGATCGAAGGGCAGCCGGATAATAATCTGTGAGTAAACGTGGAACGCAGGGTAATGGGAGCGGCGAACGAAAGAACGAATATTAACATAAACCCTTAAGCGCGTTCTTTCACCGCCGGCCCCAACACATTATCCAAACGCTACCCCGACGTTCCGAAAAAGCCGAACGCAGGGATAAGTTGCGCCAAACGGACCCTTAATCTACCATAAATAGATAAATCTAGGCTATAAAATCCGAACCAACTCTGTGCAAATATACTCTGTGCTCGCTGTACCTTTACTATATATGTGATGTACACATAAACAATAATTAGAGAAAAATATATAATTTCATTCCCGGTTTGAATACTTTGCTTCCTACTACACATTGTAAACGTCTAGCTTAAATTTCAGGTTCTACTTTAGCCATAGAAATCTCGACATTTTAGTTGTTTTTTATCCAAAAAAATCAGAGTCTTTAGCTTCATTCTCCTTCATGATAAAGAAAAATTACAAACATGTAGTACGTAAATATCATTTGGTTTAACAATCATAACAAACATTTTGTAAACAGTAATACTCCATACAGTTTCCTCGTTATTTGTTTTCCCGCTAAATCCAAAGTCAAATTGCAACGAACTAACATCTCACTGAGAATCCAATAAGCTAGCCAACAGAAAATTTCAACAAATAATTTAACAAAGCAGCATTTGCAACACTACCAGGAAAAGATGCAGGCAGAAAAAAATCTTCAATTTTTTTCAGAAGAAAAGATAGATTTGAAGATTCATCATCGTGCACTTTGTTCTTTAAGCCTTCTTCTTCCTCCCAGAAACCTTGCAGACGCCGATTGCTGTCCAGTAGGTATCTAACACAAAAAAAAGATCAGTTAATGTTTGGAAAATCTAAAAAATGCAGACGGCCAAAAGACTTCAACGACCCTTTATTCTTCGAATTATTTGTATCATCTTTGAAAACTCAAAAACCCTAAAACTCAAAATAGCCAAGAGTAGACTAATACTATGGAAGAAGAGGAGAGAGAAAAGCAAGAACCTCTTCGCCTTTCCATTTTCATATCGTTCCACCAAGACCGATCGCGAGGCTCTAAGATAGTAAGAGAAGGTGCAGTGGGGTTAATTATTGAACAAAAAACGATGGTGAGCTCGTGAAAATTTACCTCTGCTCGAGCTCTCCTGGTTGCTTGGATTCATCAAGCAAACGACAAACGAAAGGGCGGTTAGTTTGGTTAGAAAGAGCAAATTGAGAGAGAAACGACAAACGAGAGGGCGGTTAGTTTGGTTAGAAAGAGCAAATTGAGAAGATGGGGAGAGGCTCAGGTGAGTTCGGGCGGACATTAACGTTGGCGTGGAGGAAGGGAGGCAGACTTCGACGAGCATTTCCTTGTGGTCCGAAGAAACAATCCGCTTACTGTGTTTGTTTGGGAAATACTTGCGCACCGAGTACCCCCTCCCACAATAACCGCTCAGTAATAACCAAGATTATTGGAGCTTTCTCACAAATAATTTCGCAATAATTCTGAAATAATTTCGCAATAACTCCTCAATAATTTTCGTAGAGGTTATTGAGAAATTATTGAGAGGGAATTACGCACAGAGAGCTACATGTGTTCTTCGTACGTAAATATTTCTCATTGTTTAAAAAGGTTAATTAATTTATTTATAAATTTAAGGTTAAATTTTAATATTTCCTTATTAAATAATTTTTTGTATAATTAGAAAATCATATATAAATCAAACATCCTCCTTCATCCAATTTTAAAATTCTCACTATAATATCAAAAAAATTCATAGTTCTCCTTCATAGATTGTGTAAAAAAAAATAAGGTCGATGGCCAATTTGTGAATATCAACATTTCAAAAGGTATGTATGTAATTATCCCAATATTTTAACATCAATGAACTGACCAAGCAAATATAACTAACATATATATATATTGAAATTTACATACATGCACTTAAAGTTATAGGAATTTACATAATTATCATTCAAAACTCTCCATTATTATCTCTGTAACACCTAAAGAAGTATATTTGCACACTTCACAACTAAAATTATATTAAATCTCCTCATTGAAACCTGGCTCCTGAGGCCCACTTCCCATCTTCCACACATGCATGGCTCATTAACCATCCTTCTTACACTGAGCCCAATCAAGGCCTCACTCTTTTTCATTCTCGCACATCCATTGAAACAACCACCAACTTTGATGATTGCCACTAAAACAACCCACAACATCTCCCTCAAACTCCACCTCTTCTCCTCCTTCTCTAGTGAAGGAACCAAAACATCTGACTGCCTCTCCCTCGGACTCTACCTCTTCTCCTTCCTCTTCTCTCCTTTTCACTCTCTAAGTTCACTTCCCATTTTCTTGTGAAGGTTTCATATGCAAGGGAGAAGGTGAGGTTAACAAAAGTTAAATAGAGTGGTAAACTTGAAGATTTAATAGTGTTTTAAGTGTTTTCATGTATGTGAATATAATGTTTTGTGTTAGATATTATAAAATGAGAAATTTCATATAGTGACAAAGAATAAATCACATTTTATCATGTCTAATAAAAGAGGTCATGAAGAGATCTAGTTTGCTTAGAATATTGATTGACATCCCCTTGTTTTCTTTATTGGGACAAAGCTTCCATCGATCACGCGGTCTTAGAACTAAGATTTGGCTTGTAGGTCTTCTTGTTTTCTATCTTCTGGTTTATCTTCTTGGTTGATAATTTATTGTGGTTTTTTATGGTTCAGATTCTCCCGACTTCATAAGACATAATTGATGGGTGCGAATTATTCTCTCTCATTTTAAACTCATAAACATAAAATCTAGTTCTAGCATAATTCTGAAAAAATAAACCCAACAGAACCTGAAAAAATAATGATTAGTAGAGAAAAAGGCACACAAGCACCATAAATATATCAAATATATGGACTCAAACAAATGAGTGTCAAGCCCTCTATCCTAGAATGTAGCTCATGCTTAGGGGTGTAAGTACACTTTAGTTAGCACTTGTAGAAAATAAATCTATTTAATTAGTTCATATTTCATGGTTCTCCCATCAAACAAGGCCTCGGGTAGAAAACAAGTGTCATGCTCCTAAAAATAGTTGCCGTAACATATAGTCTATGCATAAGATGCCATTCTAGTATATTTCATGGTTCTCCCTTCAAACAAGGCCTCGGGTAGAAAACAATTGTCATGCTCCTAAAAATAGTTGTCGTAACATATAGTCTATGCATAAGATGCCATTCTAGCTTCCGGTTTATACATGCAATCATTGTACCACAACAAAGAAAATAAGCACAACAATCAATCACAATCATCATAACTTAAATCTAGGTTAGTATGTTGGTAATTAATCTAATGTGCGTGCAACTAGTGTGGTGTGACTCCTCTAGTCTTTAGAGTTTAGGTTTTGTTTTTTTTTTAAATTGATTTTTTTTTACTTAAAAAATGGTTTCAATTCAAGCGATTAATTATTTAAAAATAAATTTGAAGTTTTGGGTTTGAATTAAATTTGAGTTTGTTTGAAATTCTCAAGTGTGCTATTTTATGATTGGCTGAATTAGCCCAAAAAGGGGCCCCACTGTTCATAAAACATTGATCCTACTCGAATGAGAACATTACCAGTTAAAGTGGGACATGCCACCATAAAGAAACTAAAGTGATTTGGTTTAAATTTTATTTAAGTTTGAATTTTGAATTAAATTAGTTTAAGCTTAAGTTTTAAGTTAACTTTTTATTTTAATTTGATTTTGATTTGAATTTGGCTTTAGTTTGACCAACCTACAACCCTACATTTAAACCACCTTATGGATTAACAAAAGAAGCATAAAGTGAATTGAGGTGAGTTTTAAGGTTGAATGATTTGGCTTATGACTTAAGTTTTTGTATGATTATAAGTTTAACTCTTGATTAAGTTTGAGCTTTAAATTTTTTATTATTTGTTTCTTTTTGTTTAAATGGATGGAGCACCCAATTATAATTTTCCATGAGGATTGGTATGAAACATGCAAAGAGATTAGCAGAGTTTAAGTCTGGAATTTTGAGCACATTTCAAAATAGTATATATTTAATTTTGAAAATAAAATCCAAAATATTGACAAAAATCTCACCAAAACCAAAGGCCATAGAGAAATGTTTATTGAAAATTTGGGATATTTTTTGCCTAATATAAATATTTTAGGATTTAATGATTATTTTAATTCTAGAAATTATTTAAAATTTTAATTAATTTAGAATTATGAAAAAACACATAGAGATTTGGAGAGAGGTCCCAGCACTATTTCAGAAATTTCACATCATTTGGGGTTCAATTGAGTAAGTTATGATGTAATTTTGATTTATCATATTTATTGAATTCTAAATTACAACAAATATTTTTAATTATCAAAATATTTTAATTTCAAATTTATTAAATTCTTTATATTTTAAGAATTCGTGGGTTGTGTTTCATGATTTTCTTTGATCATATCAATTCCAATGAATTTTTAAATTTTTAGTTCAATAAAATTATATATTTCAATTAATATTTAATTATTATTATATGTTTACTTGTCTTTTGAAAAAAATAGTTTAAGTTTTGTGATTAAATAAAAATAAAAAAAGAAAGAAAATTTCCCTGAGGTCAAGGATCACCAGAGGAACATATCATGAATTTTTTAGTTAGTTGTAATTTAATTTAAACCTTATAGACTTTCTTAATATCTTAATCACTTTAAATTATTTATGAAAATTAACATAATGGTTAGAAATGAGG